CATGATCTCCAATGGCGTCTAAGCTAACCCCCAAGCTCATAACATGGCTAATCCTTCCTTCGTGCTTGCTCATCTTCTTCTATTCCACTGTCCTACCTCTGTACACCACTAATCGCGTCCTACAATCGCCGATTTCTGAAAACCATAATTACTCCCAAGATCAATGTAACCTCTTCAGAGGGCGATGGGTTTTCGATCCGACCCGCAAACCCATGTACGATTCGACCTGCCCATTTCACAGGAACGCTTGGAACTGCATTCGAAACCAGAGAGAGAAGATGGGCCGGATCAATTCCTGGAAATGGGTGCCCGAAGGCTGCCACTTGGACCGGATCGACCCGGTTCGGTTCCTCAGTCGGATGAGGAATAGGAATGTTGGGTTCGTGGGGGACTCGTTGAACGAGAATTTCCTGGTGTCGTTTTTGTGTGTGCTGAGAGTGGCTGATGATGGTGCTAAGAAGTGGAAGAGAAAGGGGGCTTGGAGAGGTGCTTATTTTCCCAAGTTCAATGTCACCGTCGCGTATCATCGTGCGGTTTTGCTGGCGAAATATGAGTAGGTTTTGCTGCTTTAAGCTTAAATAATTGATCTTACTCATAGGATTCTTGGTTTAGCATTTATTGATATGCTAATTAATCATTCATGTCTAATAGGACTGATATTTGCTTTTGTGTTGTGATTTGGTGCAGTTGGTTGTTTTGCATTGTTGGATGTTGCTTGTGATTTTTACAAGGATTTTGTCGACGATTCACATATAAGTACCTATACTAGTTGCGTTTCTTGATTATACTTGAGGTTATTTGCAGGAAGAAAGTCATTGCATTGGAATCTGTGTGGATAAGCTTTTACTGGAACATATAAGTAGAACTATGCAGAAAATAAAAAATTTATCGTTTATCTTGGTTCAAGAAGGCTGATCCTCTAGACTGTTTTTAGTGTATCACTTAATGATTATATCACTTGTTTAGGTATTTTGTGTGGCCTATCATTTAACCATCCCATATATACATGTTTATTCTTTTTCGTGGTCAGGTTAAAAAGCAGATTACTTTCTCTTTTATATAATCTTGGAATGAGTTTCTTCCTACATAGTGTTTTTCCACCTGTTTAATCAGTGTTCTTAATTGTGAAATCTGGATGCAATATATACTTTGTTATTTTAGGATGTTTTTGTGTTTCATTTTTGTTTTTTCTTTCTCACTTCATCTTTCGGAGAGATGGCTGCCTCACTAGCTCATTACTGATATACTTAAGGTGGCAGACTAAACAGGTCGAGTTATCTGGCCAAGATGGAGTGAAGGGAATATATCGTGTAGATGTTGATGTTCCAGCAAATGACTGGGTTAATATTGCCGATTTCTATGATGTGCTGGTCTTCAACACTGGTCACTGGTGAGTCCTCAATCTTGTATCTACTCCACTGTTTGCGTGAAATATTGTTTTTATTTACTTGCTCAGTTCTGGATTTGTTATTGAGTGAAATACTTAGCAGACATCATCCACGAGTGTCAGGTGGATTTCCGAATATGCTATATGGGACCTGAATTTAGGTCGTGCCGTCAATAGAATGTTTCATGCTATCAATACAATGTTGCAGTGTAATATTTTTCTTGATGCTAGTGTCCAGAAGATGGCCTAGCAAGCCTCTGAATCATTCTTCAATTTTTTCCCTTGTTCGTTTTCTTTATTTTCATCTAAAAGTAAAAAGATAGATTAGTTGGTACATAACTATGGATTATGAACCTTCAGATTGAACCCTTTCATCTCCATAGAATGGCTAGGTTTTACGTTGGCTCGCCAAGCCTATCACAACCCTCCTCCTTTACCAGGGCATGGTTCAGATTGAAACCTTTGTCCTGTGAAAACTGTGCAGTTTCTTATCAAGTTTATAGCTAATACCAGGTTGATTTGATTTATTTATTTTTTAATTTTTTTATTGAACCATATAATTTTTTTTTAATTGAATCATATAAATATTTTTCCCATTTGCTCTGGCAAAACCTGTAGAGGACAAAACTTTTCTTAAAATTATTGGGATTCATTATTCTCATTATGGGCATGTGAATACACAAAGGCTGAGACAATTAAAACTATTCTCTCCCTGTTCCATTCTTACTCGATTCAAGTTAGCGGCTTTCACGTTTGATTTTTTTGGATGCTATGAATGAGTTCTCTTCTTTACTCTTTTTCCATCAGGTGGGGCTATGATAAATTCCCCGAAGAGTCCCCTCTTGTATTCTTCAAAGACGGGCAACCAATAAATCCTTCTTTGGAATTATTGGATGGGCTCAAAGTTGTTCTGGAGCATATGGTAGCTCACATTGAGAGAGTATTCCCCACAAAGGTACTCAAGTTCTGGCGGCTACAGTCACCGAGGCACTTCCACGGTGGTGATTGGAATCAAAATGGAAGTTGCTTGTTTGATAACCCACTTGACGAATCTCAGGTAAACCGAAATTTTTGTCCCCTTCCTTTTTTCTCCCGTTTTCCTGTCGAAGATAATCTAGGTAACCAGTATCTAAGTTGTGCACAGTTAGTTCTTTTAGGCGCGCACACACACACACACACAATGATAGAAAGTAGAAACCCACTGTGAATTCACAATATTACTCGACATTCCCAATTGAAAAATATCGTCTTTACATCTACCCCTTAGGTTACTACCAATAACCAATTGAGATTATTTTGTTTTCCAATAGAAACAGACAAATATTAAACAATTGATTGTACGTGTTATCTGTGGGGACTATTAGTTAATTATTACCGTGATGTGATGCTTGCACAGCTTGATCTATGGTTCGACCCGAGTAATAATGGAGTGAACAAAGAAGCTAGAAAACTTAATCATCTGATTGAGGAGACACTGAAAGAGACGAGCATAAGACCTCTCGATTTGACTCGTTTAAGCGAGTATAGAGCTGATGCTCATCCAGCCATTTGGCTAGGCAAGAAGGATGCGGTGGCCGTATGGGGACAAGATTGCATGCATTGGTGCCTTCCAGGCGTTCCCGACACTTGGGTCGATATCTTAACCCAATTGATCAGCTACAACTTGGAAAGCAGTTGATTCATGAAAAACTAAAGGGATGCTCCCTAAATTGATTAGAGTTTTTTTTTTTTTTTTTTTTTT